ATGCTCAAGAGCAAAGACTCATTGTATCAGAGGAGAGGTCTCCCCCTTCCATAGGACAGTCCCCATGACTAACTTGCCAGCTCAGAAAACTTCCACACCCACCCCTTGCAATGCGTCTTTTGTCTGCCATAATGCAAATGTCACTTAGCCCATCTAGACCACCCAAGGCTATCTGATCCTTCTTGGTTATTCCATGTTTGGAATTTATATTTCTTGGTTGTCAAAATAGTAGAGTCCTGTTCTTGGAGTCAAATACGAACAATTAACATTGAGAAGCAAAGCAAAAATCAAGTGGACGGAAAATAGAAAATATAGTGGCTGCACTACAATGTTGTCAATAAATGTCAAAGGTCACAAGGCACTAAGCCAGGAATCATTTCTGAAAGGAGAGAGTCAGTGGCCTTCTCCATCACTGAATATGCTTCGCCACTTAGTTATATAGTTACAAGTAGTTTATTCACCAGAAATATTTTTCTTTACAACTTCTTTTATCAGGAAAAAAAAAAAAGCTTGCCAGAATCATGGGTAAGTGCATTTTCAGTTAACTTGCCATGTCCTGGCTACAACAATGGTTGAAGACCATGTGGAAAACACATGATACCTGGTTAAAGGTCAAATTGAATGATTATTACAATTATTTTGCTTCTATTAAATGGTTGGCATGTACTACAAGGTCCTCTACAAGCCCTAATTAAAAATCACACACTCAGCCTCTGTCCTGCCAGAGGATTTGAGAAGCCCGTAACTAACCAATTCTCCACACCACGCCAACCTCCCCAATGTGAGTTTATTTGCATTCATTTGAAAATTACATTTGTACCTTGTGCATGACAGTGGCTGATTCTCTGAACACCCATTTGATTTCTTATATTTCATGGCAAATGAAACCCTTAACTTGCAAAATATTGTTGTAAATGAGAAGATTTGCTTTTCTACTAAATTTCTCTTTCCTAACGTCACCCATCTGCATGGCAGTTTCAAATTATGATAGCATCATGATTATCTTCAGAGTTCTATTGGGAGGTGAGCTTCACCCATGCAGAAGCTGTTCAGATGTGATATATTGCGGAGCTTTCTGAACGTCTGCTCTGTTCCCGACCGTCAGAGCAAACGGCCACTCGTCCCAATGTCATTGCTGTGCTGGCCCTCTGCTTCTGGTTATCTCAAAACTGCTGCACTGTATTGTCCTATTCTTAAATGCTCGGGATTAGAGGTAACAGATCTGGCTCGCGGCAAACAGTGTTCACAGCATGCCAAATGCCCTTTAATTCCTTGGCATGCCTTCCCAGAGCATGTGACTGTTTGCACCAGTAGATTAGAGCTTCCTTATCACACTCATGCCTTGGACCATGGCAGATTCTAAGGCCATTTTTGTTGTCACCTACATGTCTGTGCATAGACGTATTCATCTTTTGTGATATGGTTCTTTAAAATTATTTTTATAGAGGTAGAGGTTCCAAGTGCAGGTTTGTTACATGCATGTGTTGCATAGTGGGGAAGTTTGGGCTTTCAGTGCAAACTTTCTGAATAGTGTACACTGTAACAGCAGGTAATTTCTCATCCCACACATCCCTCTGCCTCCCACCCTTCTGAGTCTCCAGGGTCTATTTTTCCACTCTCTGTGCCCATGTATACACATTCTTTAGCTTCCACTTACCAATGAGGACATGTGGTCCTTGGCTTTATGTCTCTGACTTATTTCATTTAAGATAATGATTTTACTTCATTTGGCGAAGAAAATACACCTGACATGTAATAACTTATTTTAAAAGGTTTGTCACATGTTTGATGAAATGTATCAAACCCCAATTTTAAAAAATAAAACAAATTTTAAAAGACTGCCTTCTATTTTATTTAGAAAATGTCTTTGGCCTTTGACCTATCAGTCTAACTTATCTGCCCATTACATGCAACTAACACACTGAAGCCAAGATTACCTGACTCAGGTCAACCATGTGTACTCAATAATATCCATTGAGTTTCCGAGAGATTCGTTTGGATGAGCTCTGATCTTAAAAAATAAAATAAAATAAAATCTTTTGTTTTTTCATTGCAAATCTTAGCCATTTAATATTAGCCGTCTGTCAACACAAACCATGTGCAATCTGACACTTCATTTAGAAACATATAAATTCTTTAAACACTAGGAGCAAAGGCTGATTAATTTCTCTGTTTTTGCTTAACTACCTGAAAGACAAGATCCTAACGAGTAATTATTCAAATCAATGAAAAAAATTGTGAAAAAATTTATAAAATCCGTTACATAACAAATTTATAAAATCTGTTACATAACCCCATAAAGTTATCCCATAGTTAGCACACTAGTTCTGTTGCTTTATGAGTCCTTAAGAGCAGTGGCTTAAATGAGATAGAAAGATTCATTTCTCTCACATACATCAAATCCCAGTTGGAAGCCTTTCAAGTGGACTGCAACATCAATGTTCCATGAGTGTCCCCAGTGGCCCTGTTTCTTTCTGTCTTGTCACTTTGCTACCCTCTGAGGGATGCCCTTGGCTATGTGGTCACAGCCAGCTCACCACCACTGCATTCCAGTTTAGGAAGGGGAGGACAAGTGCTCTATTTTAAGGATGTGACCCAAAAGTTGCAGAGATCACTTCTACTCATATCCTGCTGAACTGAATTTATTCACATGGCACTATCTAAGTACGGGGCCTGGGAGATGTGGTCCACAGCAAGATAGCCAAGTAGACACTTAAAACTCAGGGAATTCTATCATTAAGAAAGAATGGTGGGGGGATGGGTGAAAGTGGGGTGTGGAGGAAGAAACCAGCAGTGGTCAAAATATTGGCATTTTTCTGCCAACATTTATTAGATACTCATATATATTATGACATTTCTTCTGATAACGCCGGAACACTGTTGAGGTTTTTTTGTGTTGAATAATGTTTTCAAGGACAAGTGTGTACCTGAAGTTATATGAGTACCATACTTCTAAAGTTGAAGATCAAATTCCCAACAGACCTGACAGATTTTTCTTTTCCACTAGAGTTGTCACAGACGGCCTTCCTCTCCCAAGCAGAGAGAGTAAGAGAAAAGTGTAACTCAACTTTATTAAGGAAGTCCTCCAAATCAAGCCCTTTGCTGGTGACTTACAAACATTAACCCAGTGATCTTATTATGATAGCCCTTGGTGAGTTAAATGATTAAGTCTAGTGTGTTAACTTTCATAGGGTCATACTTTCGGTTTCCATGAGTAGAGATAGAAGAAAAGAACCTTTTCTTCCCCTAAAAAAAAGTGGACCTTCACACAAAAATGCACAAAATATAGAAAAACCACCAGCTCTCTCCTGTCCTCCCAAGATTACATAGGGAGGAATCTCTAGCTCAAGGGCAGAGTCAAGAGTTAGAATTGTTCACTGCTTTGAGGCAGAACTCAACACATGCTGGAGGCAAAGACATACTGAGAGCCTGTGAGCCCCAAAAGAAACTGGATCCTCCTTCATCTAGTTTGGGAAATGGAAGTGTGAGGGAGAGGTACGGTAATGCTCCCACCAACCTGTCTCAGAGGCACCTGAGTAGGGCAAGCACCTGCTGACTCAGGCTATCCCAGAGAAGTAGCCACTGGGGCCTCTCTTTGGGTATAGTCCTGGCTCTATTAAGAAATCATGGGCTTCTGAGATGCAAGTAATTCACCAATCTTTCCAAAGTATACAACTAAATGCCTGTCACAAACTTAATTTTAAACATAGCATTGGTGATTACACAGAAACTACAGTATTATAGTCCAATTGCATTAGCCAGCTTTATATTTAGGTCTTACAGCTTCAATTGCTTGAACAACAGTCTTATATCCAAGCACAGAAAGTCTTGCTATAAAATGGCATTAGCTTAGGAAACCCCAGATTATTTGAAGAAGTCTGTTCTAAGAACTACCAAGAACCAAAATCAAATAGCGAAAGAAAAAGAAAGAAAGAAGGAAAGACAGAAAGAACCTGAACTTCAATCCTTATTAGACTAACCCACTGAGCAGAAAAATCCACCAATATAGCAAAATAGCCCTAATGAATATGAAGACAGAAATATTACCTTTCTATGTAATGGGTCAAGACTTTCACATATTTGTGGGTCCAGCTATCATTTCAATCTTCACCTTCTTTTTTATCATTGTTTTTATACTGCTGAGCAAAATGAATGTTTTGTCTAAGTTCCTAAGAATCCATTTTTTTAAGCAGTTGTTTTTTGTTTTTTGCTTTTTCCCCACAGTAGCTAACTGGAGAGGAATGAGGAGCTCAGGCTCTATAAGCAAAGGTCTGGTTTCAAATTTCATCCTGCCATAGGCTACGTGGAGGTCTCTAGAAAGGACCTGCCACACGAAGTCCCAACTTACTCATCTGTGAAATGGAATTAATAGCTGTTCTTATGGGTGTTGTTGTGAGCACTAATTAGGCCAGTGTCTGGTACTGTGTACATATGCTATATGTGTTCAATGTTGTTGTAATTGCCAACAAGTGGAATACTGAGAGGATGGATGATAGCTTTTGAATTTGAGTTTGTGGGGTTTTTCCCTCATGAGTTCCAGTCTGTTTGGCCCCTTATGGAAAACTCCATCAGGCTGTTAGTCCCTGTTAACTCCACCAAAAACTGAGAGAGATAAATGGACCCTTAGAAGCAGAAAAATCGCCTTCTGAAATAAGCTCTTCCTGACACATCCAGCATTTATGTGCTGTCCTTTTCTCCAAGACAAAAAAATTGCATGTTGGAATTAGACCAGGGACATTATCTCATGATGATTAAGGGGAGGTCGTTACCACAACAGTGCATGAAATGGAAGCTCTCTGCTTTCACCTGGGGAGCTCTGGAAAATAACCTTCTTTTCCCCCAGCAAATGGGCAAGGAGAAGAAAGATGCCAATAACTGAGAGCATTATAAATCCTTTCTCATGTACTCTGCTTGCCTAAATTGACACATGATGCCCGCCCACCATCTCTCAGAAACCATAAGAGGCACCAACTCATCCATCAAGTCCCGCCTCACAGCCTGGGAGGCACCAGCAAGGATATTTCTCTTTCTCTGCTGCCTGTTCCTCATCAAACTGAATCAGCATTTCAAAAAGATACTCAATTCCCATTCTGAAAGGTAATATCTTCCAAAGATGGGGCAGGCAGCTCTTATGGAAATTCTAACCTATCAGCTGCAAGACAGGCTTGTGAAGGTTAAAGGGTTACCTACCCCATGGCAACTCCCCAAAAGCTTTTAGTGTAAAAAAAAAAGAAAAAAATTTTGCATACATATGCACATATACACATACATATGCACACGTATGTGTGTATATATGTATATATAGATGTACACACATATATGTGTATATATATTTCCCTAATACCTCACTTATATTTGCTAATTTTTTTCTCTCCCCTAAAACTACCTTTGGAAAGGGATTGGATGAGAGTCCTTAATTTAAGCCCTGCATTGTTTGAGCTTTAAATCAAGCTTGAGTATTGTCTTAACTATAAATAGTCACTGAACAATAAAAAATAGATATACGTCCATATGTGTATACTGGAAAGGGAAGAAATTAGAATGGAAAGGATTAATGAGGAATAGAGTAAAATATCAGAGAAATTGATATAAACAATGCTATGTTTAAAATTAAGTTGTGACTGGCATTTGGCCATATACTTTGAAAGGACTGGGGAATTACTTGCATCTCAGAAGTCAAAGCTCTCTTAATAGAGCCAGGAATGGATATGGTTGGAGACCATCACTCTACATGAATATCACAGAAACAGACAACTGAACATCACATGTTCTCACTCATGAGTGGACTCTACACATTGGGCACGGGGTCACAAAGGCAGGAACCATAGATGCTGGGGACTGCCAAAGGAGGGAGGGAGGGAGCGAGGGAGGATCAGGGGCACACAACCACCCACTGGGCACTAGGCTCACTACTGGTGCAGGAGGGCTCACTAGAAGCCCAAACCTCACCTGCACATAATTTACCTATGTAGCAAATCCTCACACGGACCCCACAGCTCTAAAATAAATGTAAAATATGCATATTTAATAAAAATTTTAAAAAATAAATAAAGCCAGGACAACACCCAAGGGGAGGGCTGAATGGCCATTTCCCTGGGACAGCCTGAGTTAGCAGGTGTTATGCCACCGCTGATATGCCTCCAGACCAGTTAGTGGAAGTAACAGGACAGGACAATATGTATCGAGAACTCATACTAAATTAGCCAGGTCTGGTGGCCCATGTCTGTAGTCCCATCCACTGGGGAGGCTGAGGCAGAAGGATCTCCTGAGTCAGGAGGTCAAGGCTGCAGTGAGCTGTGATTGTGCCACTCCACTATAGCCTGGGTGACAGAGTGAGACCCTGGCTCCAAAAAAAAAAAAAAAAAAAAAAGACCCGTACTATTCCCCATCTTCTTTTAAGTATCCAGGGTTTCTCAACCTCAGCACTATTGACAATTTGGACTAAACAATTATTTGTTTGGGGAAGCGGTCTATGTTCTGTGCATTGCAGGTTGTCTAGCAGCACCCCTGGTCTCCAGCCACTAGATGTCAGCAGCACCCCCAAGTTGTGACAACCAAAAAATGTCTCCAGACTTTCCCAATGTCCCCAGGGAGCAAAATCACCCCCAGTTGAGAACCACCGTGCTAGACATACAGAGCTGGCCTGTATGCAAACAAGTTGCAATGTTTGCTCTTTGTTCCTTAGGAACAGTCAATCCTCAAGAACGCGATATGCTCTCTGGTGTGGAGGTCATCAGATCTTCTCCTTGGTCTGGGCTGCCTCTGAGTTCCGACTCATCCAGACTTCAAACTCAGACTGCTCTGAGCGCCAGTCAGGGTGTGTCCAGCTCTTCACTCTCAAGGTTTTCTGGGTCTCTCCTCCTCTCCCTTCTGATCTTGTAGAAAGCTTTTCTAGAAGAACAAATCTTTAACATGTATTCCTTCATGATAGATCATAGGCAAGTATCCAATCAATACACACAAATAAGAAATTAAGCTTTGTACTGAAATGGAAAAGTTAAGAAATGTTCTACATCAGAAATCATCTCCCATCAGAGGTTTGTGACTGTAAACAACTAGCCCCAAGATGTTTCCTTATTATCCGTTTTAACTGAGTTAGCAGTAACTGACAAAGAGTGGGAGAGGCATGTCTGCTTACGTTTCATTTTTACAAACATGTCATGATGTGTCATGAGACTGCAGTCTCATATTAACACAACTTTCACCCTGTGATTTGAAAACCTTTGAAAACATTCATTAGTGGATACTTTGATGAGGTTAGCAGGATTTCAACCTCATGTTCTTCCCATATAAGTCCAGAGATAGTCATGAGAATCATGGTGTTACTCTACCATGGTTTTATCTTCAGAGAGAAACAGTTACAAATACCAGTGCTTCTCTAAATTCTCTGAGATGTCTCTAGCCAGGGAGACCCAGAGCTCCCAGCAACAGCAAGGGGCAGAGACCAAAGGAAACCAGCGTGCGCTGACTGCTTGCCCTTCCTTGTGTTACTCACTGAAACCCTACCCAGTCATTGACATTGACTGGGCTGCTTAATGCTGCCTTGCCCCAGATTCAGTCCTCGGCATCTTGAGCTCCCTTACTTCCCAGGAAAATGTATCCACTCCTATGAGTACCGACAATGAATACTGACTCCCAAGTTTGTGTCTTCAGTCCCAGACTTCTCTGAGCTCCAGACATTTATATCCAACTCTCTCCACATCTCTTTATAGACCAAGTAAACATACCCACACACCACCTTTCTTGCCTCTCCCAGGTCTCTGTTCAGCCAATCGCCTTTGCACGCTCCCAATTACTCGAGTCCCAGATGTTGGGACCGCCCTTGACATCTCTCTTCCTCTCACACCCCACATGCAATCCATCAGCAAGCCCTGGCTGCCCTTCCTCTTTAATATTTCCAGGATCCAGCCACTTCTCACCCTTCTATGGCAACCATCCAAGATGACGCCATTTTCTTGGGATTATCAGGTCCACTGACCTCTGTGTTCACCCCCTCCAGTTGTTCTCAACACAGCAGCCAAGGCAGCTGTTCACATTCCAAGTCATAGCACGTTTCTCCTCTGCTCAAGACTCTGGTGGCTTCCCAAAGGCCTTGCCACGCACAAGGCCCTATGTGACCTGGCCACCTGCCGCCTCTGACTTCATTTCACCTTCTTTCCCTCTCTGCTCTTCCTTCAGACCTTGTAGTTATGCTTTCCTCTCTCCAGAGCACACTCCCCTGAACCCTCATGGGGCCTGCTCTCGTTTCCTTCATGTCTCTGATCAAGCGACACTTTGTGAGAGAGACCTTCCCTGACCACACAGTGCAAAACAGTGCCTGCTCCCAAGTTCTCTCCATCTTTTTTCTCCTGCTGTTTATAGTCTTTATCTTGCTTTTCTCACAGAAATTTTTTTATAAATTAATGTGTATGTGTGAGTGTATAGTCACATTTGTTCATTGTGTGTGTATCTACATATTCGTGATATATACACATTTGCATTACATATATGTAGCATATATACATTTGTGGCCAGGTGTGGGGCTTCATGACTGCAATTCCAGCTCTTTGGGATACGGAGACAGGAGGATTGCTTGAGCCCAGGGGTTCAAGATCAGTCTAGGCAACATAGCAAGACTTCGTACCTACAAAAAAATCAAAAGATTAGCTGGGTGTAGTGGCGCACACCTGTTCTAGCTGCTCCGAAGGCCGAGGTGAAAGGACTGCTTGAGCCCAGGAGGTCAAGGTTGTGGTGAGTCATGATGGTGCCACAGCACTCCTGCCTGGGCAGCAGAGTGAGATCTCAACTCAAAAAATAAAATAAAATAAAAACATATATACATCTTAGTTGGCAAACTAAGCTGTGGCTCAGGACTACATCTAACCCTGATATGTTTCCATAGAGATACAACGTTTTTAATGTCATTAAAGGGTTATAAAAGAAAAAGAAGGAAAGAAGTTGAATATGCAACAGGAACCATGTGTAAACTGCAAAGTCTGGAAGATTTAGTATCTGGCCCTTTATAGAAAAAGGTTTCCAGCCTGTACATGATTGTATTATCTCCCATGAGAATATAAGCTCCTTGAGGACAGAGACTGTGTTTTGTTTACTGTCATATCCCCAGCACATAGAACAATGCCAGGTACAAAGTGGATGCTAAGTAAATATTTTTAAATGAATTAAGACAATACATCTTAGTGAGATCAGATGCCTTGTCTAAGGTCCACAGGAAGTTGGCAGACGAATCAGGATTCAACCCCAGGTTCCCTGGATCCCATAGCCGGGTCCTGAGGCACCAGAGCTGCTTGCAGCAATGATTTAAGCCTTCTTTTCTACCAAAAGACTTCCCTTTGGAGACAACGTCTTACATACATGTTAGGTAAAGGAGCCTGTGGTAAAGGAATGAAAGGAAAAAGAGAGTGAGTTGCAGGAAACGTTTAGGGATTATGCCATCATAAACTTCATCTGCTATCAACATATTCAAGGTGTTTTTGTATCACTATCTCTCCTTAGCTTCACCAAATATCTGGGTAAGGTAAGTCAGGTCCTATCATTCTTATTACACACATTGCAAAGCAGAATTTTGGGGAGGTTAAGGGAATTGTCCTCACAAGCCATGAGGAGTGGAGATGAAATAGTCTCCGGATCCATCACTTTCAGTACAGAACCCTCCACTCTACCAGACTGGACCAACAGACATCCCAAAGGCTCTGTTGATGGGCAAAAATGTGGAAGAATCTTCACAGAACAGCAGTCACACCTCAGTGACTCCCAGGAAGCCAGGGTACTTCATTTCACTGGAGTTCTGTGATACACAAGAAAACTTCCGCCAATATACAAGGCCACTGCCAATGGTCAGAGGCAGCCGCGAAGGCAGGACTCTGAAACAGAAGCAACAAGGAGGAGGCTGGCCATGCAGACCACATCTCGGGCTCTTACTGGTGTGACACCAGTACCACATTTTTGAGCTGCCAGGCATATGACCATCTTCAAGAAGGAAGCCAAGAAAACTAACAGTCATCTTAGCTGACACAAATGTCCACAGCTGTCATCTCCTGGCCCAGCTGCTAAATGGAATCAGCCATCCTCTAAGGCAGCTGATTTTAGAGCTTAGAGGATTTGGCTGAGAAATTATGTGTTTCACAGCTGCCAAGGGCTAGTTTGCTACATGATGGCAAGTGGCCGTTATGTTTCTATGCGGAGTAGAGGTCACTATGCCACCCCCCTGGAGTTCGTTGAACTCTGACAGGCGGCTGTGTGCTGGTCAAGATGCCAGCTCAGAATATTTGCAGTGGTCCAGTTTCCAATGTTTCTTTGTCCCAGTAAGTTTCCTTATGTCTTGTCAGCCCACTGGAGCCCCTACCCCTTTTTTGTGGAAAATATAGTTTCCATAAATAGCAGCAGCTGAGGCCACTGTGCTTGATATGGTTCATCTCCCCACCTCTTCATCCTACTCACTGTAATATGGCACAGCCCTTAGGAAGCCATGAAATTAAAACAAGTGTCACCTTCAATGCGAGGTATGCAGGAGTTATAAGTATTAAGTAGCTGTAATTATTAAATCAAGTTATAATCATTATAATGTTTTCTCCAATAATTTATATGGAGACTTGGATAAGAAAAATTGGTGAGCTGCATAATAACTATGAATGTACCATTCTTGTTGGTTCGCCTTTGAATTTAAGCCTCTATATAGAAGTCACTCTCTTTAATTTGGAAGTGATATTAGTCTTCACAATAAAGAAGATGAAGCAAAGGTCAAATAATTTACCTAAGAGTCCCTTTGTGAGAAATAAAAATAAAAACTTGAATTAAAAGCATTAGGTACCATCTATGTATTAAGCAGGATGCTCAGTGTGACACTACGTTCTTAGAAGGCATCTGGCTACTGACATGCAGTATTCCAAGGAAAATGTACATATATGGGGAAGATGCATTTGAGAAACCTACATTTGTACTGTGTTAAGCAATAAAAATAGTCTTTTTGTTGGCAGACTTGAGAAAGAGATCCAAGATCTTGAAAAAGCTGAACTGCAAATCTCAACGAACGAAGAGGCCATTTTAAAGAAACTAAAATCAATTGAGAGGACAACAGAAGACATCATAAGAGTGAGCATTAACCAATTTTAAAACCATAATTCTCCTCAAAAGAAATCCACAAATGCTATCTAATTCTTCAAATATACCCACATTTAGATTTTATTTTGTAAACTGTATTAATTATGGAGAACTTTTTTTTCTTATAGTCTGTGAAGGTGGAAAAGGAAGAAACATCAAGAGGTATGTTTTTAAGCAGCCTCCCTTATGTTTAACTAAGTATTTTTACAGAATTTGAATTTTTCTCATTATTGTACATATATTCTAAATGTATTTTGAATTCATATTAATTTTACAGAGTCAATTGAGGACATCTATGCTGATATTCCTGACCTTCCAAAATCCTACATACCTTCCAGGTTAAGGAAGGAAAAAAATGAAGAAACAGAAGATGATGAACAAAATAGAAAAGGTATGTAAGCAACCTGTGTTCAAGGGTATGTTTTTAATTTCAGATTTTACAGTGTCAAATATTCCCAAGTTGTTGTGCCATCTTAAGCTTCCAGCGAGGCAACAATCCATTTTACAAAGTTCCATGAAGTATGTCAGTAGGGATAATGAGATCACATACTTCATGTAATTCATTCCCTAGCAAACCAGGTAGAGTCAGGGACAATGAAGACCTGAAGGAGACAAGAAGCTCTTAAAAGCAAAGCTTCCCCGGTCAAAAATCTCTCTCCTAACATATTCCATCCAGGAGACACTCTCTTAGGCCACTAAGAACCTTTTCAAAAATGAAAATACTCCCTGTGGGAAGGCCAGGCACTATTCACTATTTACCTCCATGGGAAATTGATTTTGATAAAATGAATATTTCCAAGCCTCTGGAACAATGAAAGTTTGCATTAGAGCAGAGAGGAACTCTTTGAATTTTAGAGTGGAAGGAGAAGCTACACTCTCTCCACAAGTAGTAGTCATTCATTCATTCAACAAATATTTAGGAAATAACTACTGTGTGCCAAGCTCAGGCACATAGTAGGTGTTCACTAATTATATCATGTTAGGGAGTGAATACAGAAGAATGCAGCAGAGAAGCTGGACAGGAAGCATGTGGGTGAGGTATGTTGTGGTTTTCATTGAGTAGCCAGGGAAGGCGAAGAACTGCCAGGCTATGGAGGAGGTACAAAACGCAAGATGAAGTCAGAAAGGAAGGTGTAAGGACAGCGAGAGCAAGCATGACCGCCTCATAACATTGCACAGAATCCTATCAGCTTTGCCCAGTCGGTCAAAACTCCAGCCATAGGGATCTTACCTGGGTCATGATGCAGATCTCAGCTTTCTCAGTTCCCTGCAGTCTAGTTGTTTCAGTACAGTTGATCTTGCTCTACTTTTTCCATTTTTACTTTAGATTCAGGGGGTGTACATGCATTTTCATTACATGGACATATTATGTAGTGGTGAGACTGGGTCTCAGGTGGCCCATCCCTCAGAGAGTGAACACTGCATACCATAGGTAATTTCTGAAACCTAATCCCCCTCCCCACCTCCCTCCTTATTGGTGTCCTCAATGTCTATCAATTTCCATTTTTGTGACCGTTTAGCTCCTACATACGAGTGATCTTGTCTATTTCTAGCTCTTTCTCTACTTGAAAATGTGAGTGAAAATGAAACAAAATACAAAGAGAAGCACATGATTCTAGACTTCTGCTCCCTCCCCAGTACTAGTTCCACATCTAAACAGCCTCTCCATTGTGAAAACTCTGGAACACGCCCTTAATTTCAAGGGTCTGCCAGCCTGTGCAACAAGGATGTGGTTTTGATTCTACCCATTGAGAAATGCAAAAGAGAGCAAATCTGGCTTGTTGGATGTATTAATTGGAAAGGGAATACCTTCTGGTTCCCCAGTGAACATTTTTACTGTTTGAAATCCTCAGCCTGTCTCCTCCAATCAGCTTCTCTTCTTCAGTCCTTCTCATTTTTTCTGTAATTTCATACACCCTTAAAGTAACAACCCATGTTATTACTGTGTCGGTCATTATATAATTAATGACAAGAATCAGAAACTTCAAAAATAGACAGCATCTCACATCAGAGTACATAAAAGGGTATGCTTAATATAAAAATAAACACTGTGGATGCAGGCTAGTCTATCAGAGAAAAAGTTAACTCAATGATCAAATTTATTTATTCACAGCTTTGTATGCCATGGAAATTAAAGTTGAAAAAGACTTGAAGACGGGGGAAAGTACAGTTCTGTCTTCAATACCTCTTCCATCAGACAACTTTAAAGGTACAGGAATAAAAGTTTATGACGACGGGCAAAAGACAGTGTATGCAGTAAGCAATAACCACAGCGCAGCATATAATGGCACCGATGACCTAGCACCTGTTGAGGTAGAGGAACTCTTAAGACAAGCCTCAGAGAGAAACTCAAAATCCCCAACAGAGTATCACGAGCCTGTATATGCCAATCCATTCTGTAGGCCCACAACCCCACAGAGAGACAAAGTAAGCCCTGGACCAAACTTTCAAGAAAGGATAAAGATGAAAGCAAATGGACTGGATGGTGATGCCAGCGACTCCATACACAATATGAACAATGGACTTTCGGAGGAAGGGGCCAACAACTTCAGTCATGTCAGTCCCGTTCGGCCAGTACCTCATCCCCGATCCGTGATTCAACAAGCGGAAGAGACGTCACACATCCCACAAAAGAAGCCACTGTCTCCTTGGGAAGAAGCAGGTATCTTGCAGGATGGAGAGGCACCCTCTCCAAAGGTGACACTGAGTCCCAGAGAAGCCATCACCGGGAAGTCTGAAGGCCAGGGTTCTCCTCCCACTTGCCAAGAGGATGAGGAAGATGTTAGGTATAACATCGTTCATTCCCTGCCTCCTGACATAAACGATTCAGAACCCGTGACAATGATTTTCATGGGATACCAGCAGGCAGAAGACAGTGAAGAGGACAAGAAGCTTCTGATGGGCTATGATGGGATCATCCATGCTGAGCTGGTTGTGATTGATGATGAGGAGGAGGAGGATGAAGGAGAAGCTGGAAGACTGGCCTACCATCCCATAGCTCCCTGTAGTCAGGTTTACCAGCCGGCCAGACCCACACCACTGCCTAGAAAGAGATCAGAAGTTCATCCTCATGAAAATATAAATAATAAATCTCCCCACAAAAATTCCATATCTCTGAAAGAGCAAGAAGAAAGTTTAGGCAGCCCCGTCCACCCTTCTCCACCTGATGCTCAGACGGCTGGAGATGGAACTGAGGATCCATCCCTAACAGGTAATAAAAATGGCAAGGCATGCCGCTGCTGTTTGGTCATGTGACCAGCTTCTCCTTGTGTTAATACACTTTCGCTTTCTCTGATCACCTTATAAACTAACACACACCGAGATTTCTTAAATTAACACTGATTTGAATGATGATCACCACAGTAAAGTGACTAAGTCACTTCAAATGATAAAAAAGGTGAATTGCCTTATATGGACATTGTCTTGATAAACCTTAATACCTTGAATTTGCTCTTCTGTCATGGTATGGTACTGTGCGTGAAGGTACTGGGGTCACTAATATATTGGGTCATCAATAATGCATCTTTTCCCACTAGAATCTGATGACAACTATGTGTTTGTGCCTCACTGTGACTTACACTTCCTTACATAAGTTAACAAATTGCCTTAATTTTACAAGAAAATGCAAGAAACAAATATTATTTTCAGGGAATTCTATTACTTTGCTATATCTTTTATAGTTTCATTAACTTTATTTCCCTAATTTTCCTACATTTTAAAGCAAAATGTTATCTTACACCTTCTATAACATTTAACTTCAAATAGGCCTCCCAATCTTACTATATTTATTTCTTCTATTTTCTATATATTTGCATTTCTCATTCTTTATAAAGTTCTTACAGCTTTATAGCTATTTAGCTATTTTAGCATTGAATGGAAAATAACACTTTTTTCTACTAAACTAATCGCATCTCAATTTTAGATTACTAGCTATCACTTAAATATTATATTCTAATTATTATAAAGAATAAATAAAGAACCTGATAAAATCAATTACAATAGCTATGCTTACCTTAGCTAAAGATGTAAATCAAATTGCCCATGCATACAGTTTCTGTATGTTTGTTAAGGATAGTAATTTTAAATGTCTCTATTGGAAGAATGCTCATTAAAAAGCAATAAATGTTAAATAGCAGCTAATCTAACAAGCAGAACCTGATAATTCTAAAGAGGTGCGGTAGCACCTGCATAATTCAAGAATGTCCTTCCTCTATAATCCATAAACCCATAATACTGCAAAATGAGTCTTCTTCGTTTCTTTTAAGGAGGTAAGTTAGGTATGCCATTTGAAAGTTTAAGTATCTGAAGAATTTCTAGCCTCTTGGAAAATGTCTACCCATGTATCTTCCTCAGTCAGAGTTGAGTGGTATGTCCCTACCATGGAAACTTAAAGACATTAAGTTTCTTTCCATTTTGTGAATGAGCTTTGTTTGCTGATCAAACTTTGCATCTTAAATTCATTTTAAAACAACAACACAAAAAACTCAGAAAAGAGGAACACATTGCTGTCTATGGTCAGCAGAAATGACATTCCTCACTCTAAAACCTCCCTATTTTGAACTTGGATACAACCCAGCTCCTTCTGAAAACCCTTATTTCTTCTCCCCTAACCGTATCAACACACTCTTACCCTGTGGAAAATGACAGGAAGTGACTAATGTTTCCAGACAACACTAATCATGCCCCTGCACTAAAATAATGAAAACAGGAAAACCTATTCCAGACAAACTAACAATACAAAGTTCTGTACTATCGATCAAAGTATCTTATAAACAGAATGTTCCAAATTCCTTGCCTTCCATCATGATATTGTTTTCTGTTCCTGTTTTCCAAATCAGCATGTGGATTACAGAACTCATATGCATTTTTAGTGGGTTTTAAAAATAAAGAAGTCATCATGTCATATGCCCTCAGGGGCCATCTGTATACTCTTCATACATGACCATCCATGCACTTCAATTTCTTAAACATCAAGCAGGTAGAACGTACCTACACCCCCAAAAGATGCTTACGCTTGAAAGTCCACCATTTCAGTCAATTCTTTTGGCCTAGGTCCCCTACTAAATATAAATAGTCCTGGTAAGCATGGTTGTTAATTATTTCTTTCTTGTTGTGCAAATGGTTATCAAAGCCTTATTTCACAACAATTTTAAATTTAGAAAACAGTATAAAAATGAAAAAAAGTAGAGCCTGGAGATTCTGAAGACAAGATTTTTTTTAGTCAAAATTTTGAACAGGGCAAGACATGACAGAAAAATGTAGGCAACATTCCATCTGCTAATGTAACTATAACACGGTTGTAAAGTATGGCTCAATGCCAGACACATCCACCATTGCATAGACCCTGGGAACTCTCCTGGGAGTCCACTGTTACCCTACCGCTTAGACAGCTGCTTTTCCTGGGCAGTCCTCACCAACTATTCTTGTGCTTCTAACTCTGTTCTTCTTAGAGATGTCAGGGGCATTCCAGGAGGAAGAGGTGGGGGACCACAGCTCAGGGAGACTCACATACTATTGGTGCTAAAATTGCCAACCTGTCTCAGCCATTAGGGTTCAAGGGACACACAGAGTAAGGAGACAAGCCAGCCAAAATCATGCATCTTGACTGCTGTGGGGAGAGGAGACCAGAGACAGAGAAGAGCAGAAAATAGAAGTCAGAAGGAGAGCTGATGGCCCGGGGTGTTTTGAGCTGCTAAACCAAGCAGACTTCCAAGCCAACATGCATTGGCCCCACACATTGACCAGGAACTCACCCCATCTGCTTCTTGTAGGCTCCATAGGAAAAGCAAGTTCTAGCAACCTTCATTAACTGTCCATGGCACACAGAATGTGCCTGGTTTATGGAATCTCTAGTGAGGCATAACTGCAGGGAAGAAGGCTTTGGCACTGCCTTAAAAGACTTTTTTTTTTAAAGTCCCTCATCCTTGTTGTCTTTTTAGGTATGGGTCAGGTAAAAGTCCATAAAATCTAACAGTAGAAACTGTGTAAGAGCCTTGCCTTCCTTCCATCCACCTCCTCAGGGTTCACCATCCAACAGCTCCTAATTGGGACCATCCTGATTACACAGAGCAAAGGAAATTCTCTCAGCCCATCCCAAGTTCAAGGGCATATTCCTGGCCCTGCTACTAGAAATGATCGTTCCTCTTAAAGATTCAGGAGAAATAATGGTCTTTAACTTTATTCAAATAAAAATATTTCATGTAAGTGGAGTTACAATTAAAATGCTCACAGTCTGGTTACAGAATTGAGTTCCCATCCCTTCCCATATCTGTGCACAGGGCTTCTTAGAGACAGGTTAATTTTGTTTGTCAATAGATGCTAACATGTGGCATAGAAGTGAGAGAACACAACTTCCCTTTTATTTTTCATTAAACAAAACTGGGCAATCAATTCAATAGCTGGTTCTCGGGCCATATGACGTGGAAATGTAGTATTAGATCATTAACACAATCAGTGCCTTGAAAACATCTCCCACCTTCCGGAAGGAGACTGAGGCAGCTATACCCTAAAGTCCTAAATATTAAGGACATGATACCAGAATAGGGGAGGAGTGCTATCAATCCTAAATCTATGTTTTTAAAAGTGCTTTCTACATCAAATGTGTTACTAGCAGTAGAATATACCCAAAAAAGTTATATTTGCCATTTGAAAGCATACTTATATCTGGACAAAGCCATTTTATAATCACTCAAACTCAATTACTGGTTCACGCTGCTTTATTCTTTTTTAAAAATTGTTTTTGTTACTGTATATTCAAAGGACAGAGCTCTTCTGAAAAATGAAGTTTAATGAACTAAAAAATAATACACTCACAAAATAGAATTTAAGCATCAATACCTTTTTTTCTCGGTAGTATATAGCTCAAAACAATCATTGGTCTGTGAGTATATGTATGTATGGCTAACCGTGGAATTGTGTGCTAATCCTATATGTACTCTACTTGTACTGTTTGCTCTACTAGCTTTTTTAATCTTTATAGAAATAGGTTCCTACTAGTTCTGAGCCTGCTTCTGCCCTAAGTTAACCATAGCTTATTATTTCTACTATCTTTTTGTGCTACTTAATCAATGCTCACATTGTTGGATAAAACCATCTGAGGTATGTTCTAAACTTTCCTGCATTCTATGAAATGGTCATTTAGAGTAAATAATTGAGGCTTGTTTTTTATAATTCTCCCTCTTTTTTTTTCTTTAATTTGCAGCTTTAAGGATGAGAATGGCAAAGCTGGGGAAAAAAGTGATCTGAAAGGTGACTGCCTATGTAAACATGCATTGGTGAAGAAGCTAAGACCCGTTTGCAAATGTCTCTTCTGGATATTTTTGTTTATTTTTTCTGAAATCCAAAAAATTATAATTGTAGTATACCCATATTAAGCCATGTGAAAAAGTAGTAATCATTATTTTTGAAAAATTTCAAAAAAGCTGGGGAGAACAAATGCTTAACTTTTCCAGTCACTTGACATGATTCAATGGGGCAGGGGGAAACCATTTTTTATTGTATTGATACCAAAGCATTTCTAATAAGAGCTTGTTAAGTTTAAGAATAAAGTTATTTAAAATATTCTGACTATATCATATTAACTGGCATTGTAATTTTGGTAAAACAAAGATTGAAAGTCATTGCACTTTGTCACAGAAGTATCCAAGTCTGACAAGCAAACATGTCACCCTGATGTAATAATGCCTTGTTACAACCACATCCTCCTGCTGAGAATCAATTCAATTGGTTCAGTGGAGACTTCAAACTCTTGCACACACCCAAAAGGTGCATGTAATGTTGATCCTCATATTTTGGGGCTGGGTTTGGATTGTCTTGATAAGGCACATGACTTTACAGATGATAACGGACCCATTCATTCTTAAACTTCATACTTTCACTCGACTCCATGTGAACCCTGTGGTGCAATGTCTGGTTATGTCCAAAGGGTGTTAGATAGAGGACTTCCCATACTTCTTTTTTTTTTTTTTTAAGCCCTGAAATTTGATTTTTATTTTATTTTTTAACATATTTTTTATTTTAAACTTGTGGGGTACAGTTAAGGGTTAGGTATACAAATATGCATTGTGCAGGTACCCATGTTGATGAGGTGTGCCCCCCTGTTCCCAGACAGATATCGACTACTGTTAATCCCACCTCCCTTCCCCTCTCTGCCTCCCCCCATAGTTTCCCACCACTGTCAATAGATAGTTGTTCAAGGTCCACTTATGAGTGAGAGTATGTGATATTCAGATCTTTGTTTCTGTGAGAGATCACTCAGTATTATAAACTCCAATTCCATCCAGGTTGCTACAAAATTCATGATTTTGTTCTTTTTTATGGCTGCGCAATATTCCATTGTGTATATGTACCACATTTTTTTAATCCAGTCCTCTTTTGATGGACAGCATGGTTGGTTCCATGATCTTGCTATTGCGTATCTTCTAAGAGCACAAATCTGGTCTAGTGTTTGCCCGCTTCTTGTGGACATGCTAGAATCTTAATATTAGAACTGTGAGACTGTATACAGCATGCTACTCCTGAGTACTTTTGCTGAGATATTGAATCCTGGTTTGGAGAAGGGTACACTCATGCCAATACAGTCCCTTCTACCTGCCTTTTTTGCACTCCCTCTGTCCTGCACCCCCAAGGTCCATTCCCACACATCTCACCCTGATCGTGCCAGGACATGTTGCCCAGATGTTCCAAATCTTTAGGTGCATAGTTTGTTTCCTCCCAGGACAGAAGTTGAACTTCCGGATGGGACTATGTGTGATAAGACCTTATCTTAATGACTGGCCTGGAGGCAACAAGAAGTAAAAGAAGGGGACCCTGAAGAGGATGAGCATTAGCCCAGTGGTTTTGCTAGGAGCAGCTGTTCTATAGGGGGAGAGAGCGCTTTCTGCTGGCCTTGAATGTTCTAGGAAATCTGGAGGTTCAGATTTCTGAAGCATTTTCAACAAATACCCCTATTCCATGTCCAAGGGGCTCCTTCCCTTTCTTGGCTCTGACGCTCACCTAAGTGGCCTTAAAGACCTGCACATTCCTTTGTAGCCCTGCCATGCTTGGGATTGAAGCATGGGTTTTATTTTCACATGGTTTACTCTCTAGCTCCAGGAGACAGGGGTCTCTTTCAACATTGCCATGGAGCCTGCCTGGCTTTCTGGCATCCCTGGAGTTCATAGTTGGCTGATCTGAGCCTCACTGTTTTTCTTCAAGGCTTCTAATGATCAAAAAGCAGCCAAATCCACAGTCCGTGTTAGCACATGACAATACCTTTGCCCAGAGTCAGTCAAGTGCAGAGTTCCTATGTCACCCACTCTCCCCTTCTCACCTATTCTCCTCTCAGTTCTGCACAACTGAGAGTCTCAGTCACTGCAATAGTACAGCCTACCAAAGACTGTCACCATCCACTTATCTTCCAATCCTCATGGCCATCAGACCAGTGAGGGGACAACCCAGCTCCAGTGTCCCATCCGAAGTGTCCACTTTCCAAACAAGTTCCAACAAGAAGAGCCTGACATTAGCACTCAGGGACAGGTGGTTGATTTGAGAAGTGATCTCAGAAGCAGGAAGAAAGGCACAGGAAAGAACAGTTAATACGGTGGTGTGCAACTAAGCCCATGCTCTAGGCCACAGGGACAGAATTCCACCATAATCTCAAGAGTGTGCAGGAAGCACCTAAAATGGTCTGTCTGAAGGAGAGGACAGTGGGACATTTATCTACCAGCTCTGGTCCCTCACTAGCTGAGGGTCGCCCCTGGGAGCCTAAAGATCCCCACACTTCTGAGTTGCACGAGAGTCACACAGGCTCCCGTAGCTTTGGGAAAAGCCCTGGGTGAAAAGAAGGAAGAATCACAGCGCACGCCTCTGAAGGGATGGGCGCCCATCTGAACTTACTAGGGGCCGGCTGCTGTAGCTGTGGTAACGTAGAAATGGACATTGGAGACTCAGAAGGGGGCGCTGGGCAAAGTGGCTCACGCTGATCAGTCTGGGCAACATATTATATATTTAGATAGATAGATAGATAGATAAAAATAAATAGAAGAGAGCGTGCAGAAACAAGGAAGGATGAAATATCATCTATAGGGTACAAAATGCATGGGAGGGTGGGGGTGTACTTAAAGCCCAGACTTCTTTGCCACTATACATACATCAATATAGCCAAAAACCATTTGTACCTCCTAAAATTATTGAAGAAAAGAAAGGAAGGAGGAAGAGAGGGAGGAAGGGGAAGAGGGAGGCAAGATGGGAGGGAAGGGGGGGGAAGGAAGAAGGCAAGATGGGAGGGGGGCAGAGGGGGAAGAAAGGAGGCAGGGGGGGAGGGAGG